GGATTGTAACAATGATTCAAGACGACCACCAGGCTTGAGTTAACGGATACCATCACCGATCGGATGGATATATTTGCAGAAACAATTGTAGCTGTTTTGAGATTGCGGCTTGTAGCGCCGTTTGTTTCTGCTTCTCCCAGTATTTAGCATTTTGCTGAATTTCCATGAGTAGCACCAACAAGAATGTCCAGCTATTGAAAATTAAATTGCCTGAAACTATTGTTCAAGCTAACAGGGAAAGTTTAACACTGAGCTCTCCTGGAATTCTCCGGAATTCCTTTTGGAATTCACTGTGTTTAAACTCAAGAGCGGATAGTGTCCTTATGGCAACATCGTCGGCTCATAAACTGTTATTCATCGCATCATTTTTCATTTGACTTCCTCCCTTGACAACTTTTAGAAGTAGCATCCACAAGCACTAGGAACATCGCCACGAAGCTTATATGCAGGAGGAAAAAAAATTAAGAAGGGCTAAGATTGTCCCCAACTGCCACCAATCGCATATCTCCGGGTACAATCTGAGCAAGGCTTCGGTGCAATAAATCTATAAGCTATCTTCATCAACACAAAGATAAGTCTTATTAAGACTGCTTAGGATGGGAACAATGGCGTTGCGAATATTACTCAGAAAAACTACGACCATGGTCCTTATTACCGATGTCACTTCACTTAACTCACGGTTAAGTGATTCCCATTTGATTAACACGGCCATCACTTCACAACCGCAGTCCCCGAGGAGAATTAAAACCTGTCTGAGGGATCACTTCAAGTTCCACTTCGAGTTGTTGTTGTATCCATTCAAACCCGGCATCGACGACGAAACCAGTAAAGAGGAGCAACAATGACCAACTCCGGTTAGGCAGTACTTTCAAGATCATTATCGGCGCCGGCAAAGTCCTTACGGTCATCTGGGAGAGGATTGTTAGTATAGATTTGAATCTCCACGGTTGTCATACGAAGATCGTTTTTGGTTAGTGGGAAGTATGAATTAGATCTGAATTCACTTTAGAAGGTAATGCTATCATCTTTAAAATCAGGGTAAGTAAATGATGCGAGGATGCAATCCTATCAACTCAGTAATTTCAAGGGGCATGGGATTTTCTGCTCAGTAAGCAAAAGGGTTGGCACGATATAACCGAGCCCCCTCACATATATCACAACAAACCACTGCAACCAACGATCAATCTTGGAGACAGAAGGTACCAAAAAGCAGTTAGGATTAGTCAACTTTTCCAAACAAAACGCACAATTTCTCAAAAGTACGTTTGGCAAATTGGTCAAATATCTACACAGTGAATTCAGATCAACGAAGCCGGTAAAATTTAACCGGGTTTCGAACAGCTGTAATTGTCGATTAATCTTCAAGTGGGGTTAACTGAACAAAGTTTGTACAAATTTAAAATAAATTTTCTAATTTCTTAATGTTTCACTGATTTTGTAACTTTTACCAAATTGTTCGATGGTTCAACAATTACCGAACAGCTGAGCCCGAGTAGCACACTTCAGCTAAGAAAAGTTGCAGCAACTTGTTTATGACTGAAATAAGTCGTAAAGAAGTTTCTACAACCGATATGTGACAAGTGTGCTACTAGGGAGGTGTGTACCAAGCCTTCCAAGTAACCATTTGACATTCACTCTGATTTATGATGGTTTTACAACGGCAATGAACAGTCCGTTTAGTTCAAATGCAGCGCTTCAAACAAGCCTCCTTAGGTTTTTGCTGCTTTAAAATCTTTTAGTCTAGCGCGACAAAGTAAAAAACTGTCTTATTTTAAAATTAAATTTAAAGCGACCCTCAATACTTTCGGAAAACTGTTCTGTAATTCAATCATTTTTTTTCCTTGGATATATTTTCCGTCGATCTTGTTTTCCGTGCTGAGCACCAATGCTACCGTCGCCAGGGAGGCAGCTTCCACTCATGGACCCTACATATCGACCCATCAACTCATGAACCGGGGACCAACAGCTTTACACATCAATCATTAGCAAGTTTCTTGATAAAATTCTCTATAAACGTATTCTATCATTATACAAGCAACTATAAAACCGTTAGGTTTTAAATGAGAGCAAAAAGCATATATTGTTGCTTTTTGGCTTTTTAAAGTGCATAATAAACCCCCAATTTGTCTGTCTACTTATTGAACTTAAGAGATGGATCCTCATAGTGAATAAAAGCCAAATTTTTGACAAGGAAATCTTGAAGGATAGACTACGAAGGATGACAACTTCAAGCGATGCTAACGACCGAAAGGAAGTCGATTTCAGCAATAAGAGAAGAGTGAAGTGAGCGTGGCCCTCGAATTCATAAAACATTGTCGAGACAGTCTGAAAACAAACGAGCCTTCTTCGAGATCTTGCGAATAGTTGACGAACGGAATAACTGTCTTCAATACCAATTCTACTGAAACTGTCAGTTAGCGGAGATTAGCTGCTTTCCGATCGATAGCAGCGATTTTATTCTGCGAAAGGGTCAACTCTTCGAAAAATTTAATTCAAGCGTACATTTTTGCATCGTTTGATGGTGAACTTTGGGAACCATCCGGAAGAAGGAGACCTTTTTCGGGAACGATTAACTTGGAAGAACGCTGGTTCGCACTGGGTTGTTGCCAAATAGGTTTTATTGTAGCTTAAATATGGTTTTCAAATGGTCAATCTTGAAGAGCTTCGAGAATACACCCTTCAGAACCTTCTCCAGGGTGGACCAACTAGATAGATTCTAGTTCTCAATGAGGATTTCATGGATGAATCAATGACAAAGCAGCCTTTGCCACGGTTTCATGAACGTTGTTTTATTGTAGCTTTGTATTATTTCACAAAATTTAAAATGTTACTTGTATCGTCTATCGCGATCGCGGCTTTCAGGTAGCAAAAGGGATTAAAAAACTTTAGATATTAATGACTCAACAATTAGAACTTCTTAACAAGGATTTAAATATATCAATGGTAAGCCTGAAGACTAACGACTCATTTCAAGATGGAAACAATTGTGTACCAGTCAAGACCATATGACACTCATGCAATATGAGCTCTATGCCTTATTACATCCATAATCATCGGAAAGCCTACCGCAATATAATTACCAAAAAAATGGAACGCACGGTACGCCCAAGTAAAAATTGAACAAGTTGAACAGTAAGAACAGAAACTGATTATTGGTTGAAAGCTCATTAACATCTGGCTGAATATATAGTTGATTAGTAGTGCATGAAGCTAATTGTAACTTCATAATTCAACCATAATAAGTTAGTTGATCCAAAGATTGAACAAGCCTTATTTTAGCTTAACACTACTCCACAAATCAGCAATGCACTACCATTATTTTTTCTTAGCCTGATTTGTTGACGGTAGTCATTTCATTTCGTTGCATTTTGGGCATTTTAGTTCTTCTAAATTCACTGCTTACTTCCCAAGCAACGGCAGCAGTAGAGGCAAGGTAGATGAGCTTTTCAGGAATAGCTCCAGGTAGAATTGGGCTGCGACGACGTCGGAAGTATTAACATTTGTATTTCTGTGTTTTGACTGCTATATTGCACTGAATTTTCAGACCAAATTCCAAAAATGTAACTCAATTATGGCACTAAATAGCTTTCACATGACCATCGAAATAAATCGTGCACTTGTGTCTACATTGTGTCAACTACACTTGAAAATGAGAGGAATGTATAATACTCTTCCGGCTGCTGTTATTTAACTTAAATTTGACGTGTTTCAAATTTATGATCATACCTTCAGCCACCCATATGCGTAAGTGGTCCAGTAAGTATGATTATTGATGCCTGTAAATCAGCGACTGCCTGTTCGAATTCCGAAATGCAAAGGTAATTTTTAGACTTATAATTACAATATAAATATGTAAATCCAATTAGTCAGCACCTTGTTGCAGTCCCACAAAAATATATAAGATATGCAGCGGTCTTCCAGTATAATTTTGTTTTTCTAAATATAACTAGAAGGCTGATCAAGGGTTGGAAAAGACTGTTATTTCATGCCTTAAAAAGCTTATAATTTTACAACAACTTGTTAAGCATTACATTGTTACCTGGGCGATACGTCCCTGTTTTATCCATTTATTGGATTCTGAAGCTTTGTGTGTAAATCTGAATAATCTTGTCCCTCAAATGCCACACGGTAGGCCTGGCCGTTTTGGTACGTGTGACGCATCTTCGATGGGAAACATACATCAAAAAGACACGAAAAGGATGCTTTCAAGAACTGGCTGTGTTGCTTCGATAATGCAATGCAATGATGTGAACGGCAGTTGAAGGATTTTGTCAACGGATGTTAATACAGACTTGTGAGTTATTTCGCAATTTTGCTGCAATATATTGGCTACATGAGTACCTATTTTTTTCCACATTAAATCAAAGCATCAACGATGTTTTCCATCCAACCATCGGAGGAATAGTGATCCACTTTAGACCTCCGTCAATTCAAACAATTCATCTTGCAAATAAACGTGGCTCATTTTTGACCTTTTAGGACTGCCAGTTCTTTGAATTAATCGTTCAAATTACCGTAGGTCTTACGGCAATTGCATTCTACTGACGCGTCAAATTCGTATAAATTTAAAGTGGCTTTTCGGGCCTTCTTAATTCGAAAAGACTTTTTCATTTTCACATGATTCATCAATCCAATCAGATATAGTTTAAACGTGTTAAATAATATAAAACATGATTGTGCAAAGCCTCTTTTCGAGCGATGATCGTAGATCGAACCGTAACAAACCGTCTTGGAAAACTACGTAAGTGCTACTTTATTAAAACAAAAAATACTAATGAAAGCTTTCTACAGTCAACTCTCCATATCTCGTTATTGAAGGGACCATCGATACCGAGATATAGAAAAACATAAACCTACTAGACCGTCTGAAGGGACCGAGATTAAAGTGGTCACACACCGAGATTTAGAACCGTGAGACATGGAGAGTTGACTGCACTTGAGAAAAAGGGATCGCTACACTAACCCCAAAATAAAATTAAACCCAACTCCACCAAACTCACCCTGCTTGACGGAGGCGGCCAGTTGCTGTTGGAGTTGCTGCTGCTGCTGCGCTTGCTGTTGGGCTTGCTGCTGTTGGGCCGCGGCCTGCTGCTGGGCAACCTGCTGTTGCGCGGCCTGCTGCTGTTGGGCCTGAGCCACGGCCTGCTGCTGCTGTTGGTGCTGGTGCAGCTGATGCTGCGGGGTTGTTTGTGATTGCGAGTGGGCCGGATGGATTGTGAGCAGTTTCGTTTCCGGAGGTTTGTGCGGTCCAACGGTCAGCTGGGGAGCGGCACTGAGGGCCATCGTCGGTGCAGGCATCATTAGTGTTGACATTGCCAACATCTTTCTACGCTCTCGCTCTGCTGCGGGCTCTGCTTGCTTGTAGCGCACACTGGTCCTCCTGATACCGGCGTTCGAGGGTGGCTCTCGGATCCCTGATCCCTTTTTGGTTTTTATTTTCCAAAAACCGCCGCCGCTTCGCTCACGATCTATCAAGGTCAACGAAGGATACCGAAACGGAGTGAATAGCTTGAAATATTCGACCTCTGCTCGGATTTTGGATTATGTTTGCTTAGCTCTGTGGTCCGACTCTGCTGAGTCTGAGTGTATTCGACTAACACGTATAATTGACTATGGAAACGCACAAACAGTCCACAATTTGCTCGGTCACGGTTCGGATCGTTTGCACTCTAATGAAAGTAATTGCTTCTAAACAACACACACACTACACGGCGGCTTTCTGCGCGAGGCAAAAGAAAAACAAAATGTACTACCGGAGGCCGGAACAACCGGGGGCCCAGGATCTCAAACAAAACGGACGATTTCTTTTTGTTGTTTCAAACTGGGGGGCTTCCACTTCACGAGAGTGAAGCTATTAAAATGAAATGAAATGTAAATAATATCTCAGCACGATATGCACGGGTCTGCGGCGCTTTTCTCGCGCGAAATGTTGTGACGGAGAGTGTCCCGGTTTTTCTTTCAAGTCGTAGGAGGCGATGGCGCAGACACTTTTCCTTATCGTCGTGGCCTACTCTGCTTCCTTCGCGGATGGCGTCCGGCTTGTTTGAGCTTTTCAAGGGATGAACCGCGACTGGGTTACTTCTTCTTTTATTTCTTCTTTGTCGCTGAAGGACCTGCCCCTTTCTGTGGCACACTGTGCAGGGTCGAGCTATGATTTTTTATATACTAGTTTTTATTATATGCCCTTTTTACTTTTTTATTATCCTTCCCTTCTTAGCTTTTCCAAGCGAGCTCTCCACTTCAGGCGGAAAAACGTTTTTTTGATGGAACGACGGCGACCACCAAGATTTTTTTTTTCCGCTGTATTGACGTTCCGGCCCTTGTGGGCACAACCGGGTCGTACGCGCGGAAGGAGAGTCGGGCCAACTACTAGCCAAGCAGACGTTGAAGTTTTCACTATTTTGCGCGAACGTTGAAATTATCTATACTCACGTACAGTAGTAGTACAGATATACCGGAGAGATAGATAGAGCAGCACTAGCACTTCCACCCCCACTTAGTTCCTTTGGTTTTATTTTTTTTTTTATTATTTTCCAGGACAGGAAAGCAGAGGCTAGTGGAGACGCCTATAATAACTAAATCACCGAAAAAGCAAAATAAATGAACGGAAGGCTCTCCTTCTCGCGTGGAGATACCGGAGAGATAGACACACAGAGACAGAGAGTGGCACAGAACACAAAAGGAGCGAAGGATATCGAAATAAAATTAAATGTTTCTGTCAGTTCCGCTTAATTTTCCTTTGTTCTGCTTCTGGTTTTCCGTTAGATTTTTCTTCTTTCGTGCCTTGACTGTTGTGTTCCGTAGGTTTGTTTTATTTAACTTTTTCAATGCTTCCACTAGTCGGGATCTTGTTGGGTCCCGGCAGAGCACACACTATATGCCAAAAAACACACACAATATTCTTCTTCTTATTCTTCTTCGTTTGCTTCTTGTTGTTCACCTTCACCGCCTGCCTTGCTCGAACACAGCAGAGGCTCCTTCGATGGTTAATTGAGATTTTCCTTCTTCAGCTTCGTTAAAATTGCAACACCGAGATATTCGACGAGAGCACAAAGCCTACACAAGCCGTTTTTGTTCCGGATTTTTTTACTGCTTTTAATATTCTATAAACATGTGTGTGTATATATGTATATAGGTATAAATTTTTATTAACGTACAGGAACTATACAGCCAAAAGCACACAGGGTCCTAACTAAATCGTACTAACCGTAAGGCGACACTGCTCTAACTAAAGCTCGCGAACTGGTCGCAGACAAAAGAAACCTGTCGTCGCCGCCGGAAGAACCGACCGAGTCCTGTGGCCCGGTTCGGGCTCGCTTCGGCATTCGTGTGCTGCGCCAGCGCTCTACGGTTCCACGGTTCCGTGCCTCGTGGTTCTTTGGCTGGCGGCCTCGTGGTCCTGTTATCCTTAACGAAAGCACACCGCTGCTCCGATTGTGAACAACGCACTCGTCTGTGTGTGAGTGTGTGCGAGAGAATTCAAAACAACAGCCCTCATGGGTGGTGGAGATGAAAATTGATTGGGGGTGGTGGTGGTGGTGCGGCAACGATTTCCACGAACCGGTTCGCTCGCACTGAGAGAAACGTCGAGTGTGGGGACGAGTGAGAAAATAGGCGAGAGGAACCGAAGGAATGTTGATCAAAGTCGGCCAAAAGCCGATAACAAAGAACAAAGAACCCGATGTTGAGTGCGAGCATGGCTTGCTACTGTTGGTGATGATGATGCTGCTTCTGCTGATGATGATGATGTTGATGGCGTTTGCTTCGAAAACGTACACATTCTTTTGCGGTGATTTTCTTGACACATACGGATAGTGTGAAGGATTCTGGTTGATGTTCGTTATTTTTTTTGCCTTTCTCAGCTAGCGTTATGTCGTATGTTTTTGACAAATATCGATTTTTGGATTTGAACGGAAGCTTTTTTTTTTGTTTTAAAGAGATGAGACACGAATGCGTGATGCGGTGTGCTAGGTCGGACGGAAGTTGAATATTTTTGGGGACATCGCGGCTGTTCCCATAGCTCATGGGATATAATGAAAATGAGTGGTGTTGTGTTCAAGTGGCGTTCTGGTTGATTTTTGTTTTTTATTTCAGCATACTTAAAAAGAGCTAACAGTTAGTTTTAAAAGTTGATTTGAATATATTTCAGATCATTTTGTACATTGAGAATGTATATATCAACCCAAATACCTATACCAAAGAAAGCAAAAGCAACTGAAGTAGATCATTTCCTAAGAATATCCATGTGTAATGTTGATTGCTAATCAACTAAAAAAAATCTGGGAGAGCCAAGTACTGCATCAAGCTGCCTTTACAACGAAAAGATCTACTGATGATCACATTTTTCTAGCAAGAAGGATAATGGAAGAGAATGAAAATACTGACAACGACCTGATAGTTTAAGCACTAGATATAAGAAAAGGCTACGAACAAAAAAACTATCTGACAGGGGAATTTTATTTAAATTTTTTTCGATTTAAATATATAAAATCATCACTCAAAAATGGTTCGAAACACCACTCTGAAATGTTCACCAATAAAAGATAAGAAACTTTTAAGGAAGAGAATTTTTGTTTAGGAAAATTTTTACTACTCAGAAAATTACTGTTCCTGCTTTTCTTTGCTATTTTCTCAAACAGTGAAAATTTGTTGAGTAAGCATTTTTGAGATTATATTTTTGCTGAGATAAATTCATTGCGATTTTACGAAAAAAGTTTGCTTCTACAATACTTGGTTCATGAGTTATGAATTTTTAAAGTATCGGGAAAATAAGGGAAAATCGGAACAGCTAGAATGAAATTTTCTGTGTAGTTAGTATTTTTGTTCATAATTCAAAATAGGTAAGATACACCACTTCAAAATTCTCACCAGTGAAGGATGAGAAACTTTCAAGCAAAATAATTTTATTTAGGAAAATTTTCGCTACTCGAAAAATTATTTTTCCTACTTTTCTTTGCTACTTTCTCAAATCGTGAAAATTTCGGTGGAAAACATTTTTCAGATTATATTTTATATGGATTGCTGAGAAAATTTTCCTACGATTTAACCAGAGAAGTTTGCTTCTACGATACTTAATTCATGAATTATGGATTTGTAAATTATTTGTAGTCCAGAAAAATCGGAAAAGTTAGAATGACATTTTTTGGGCAGCTTTGGATTTGCTCATAGCTAAAAAACGGTAGGAGAAAGATAGTAGGCTGTGCGTGTGTTCAAACCTGACGTTTGTAATTTCCAGGGGTGTTTTTTTTTTTAAATATCTATAATCGGTTGCTGATCTGGCCATAACCAGGCCCAGGAGATAATTTCTAGTTCCTCATTCTAGGTCCTTATTATTTGCCGCTGAGAAGCTGTTCCGATGTCAAGTGGAACCTCCACGAGGCGTCCCATCATCAGTTCCATCATTCGTTGAGTCACAGCGTTTGCTTATCTCAAATCGAAGGCAGACATTTCGCGCGACTACCATAAACCGGACAAGTTCATGTTGACGAAGAGCTGCGTCTACAATTTGTCAACACAACACATGTCAGCCAGTCTTCAGGTTCAATTGGCTAAACTTGGTGAGTTCGTTCCATTTTGTAAATATTTATCTTTTCAAACCACCTTGATCACCTTTTTGTGGTGCGTTACTGGTATAAGATCTACCACCGAACGCTAGTCGTGAGTACTTCAAACTTGGGAATCAGGATTTTCCAGTAATCAAAGGATCACATTTTAGTCCTTGTTACTTTTTATGACTTGACAATAGTGACAAGACTAGGGTAGTGACCACCAGCATTTCTATACTTTATATTTCAAATCAAAAATATTGTTCATGTTCATAGATTTCACATAATCCATTTCCCTTTGTCCTTCTCCTTTTCCTTTCCCTCTTCACTTTTCAGAACGCGAGTAATGGCGCTATAGTCATAAGTCATAAAAGGCTAGGACAAGAGTTAGTGCTCATACCCCAACCGTCAGAAGAAAATGGAGCATCACTTAACCTTTCTAGCTTTGATGCTTCTAACGACCTACCAATCGAATAATTACCAAAATCGGAACGTACGGTACGAGATGTTCACGTTTCATCCATTTATTGCCTTCTGAAGCATCGTGTTTAAATCTTCGTGGTTTCATGATTAATGAATTTAAAGCATAAAATCTTTAAATCATCATATCATTAAACCATTCAAATAATAAAATCATTAATCCATAAAATCATAGAACCATAACAAAATAATTAAAACATTCAATAATTTAATCATTAAATAATGAAATCATTAAATTGTGACATCGTTATTAATTATATCATAATAATGATTAAGTGATGTAATAATTTATTGATTCAATTATTTAATGATTTAATGATATAATGTTTTAATTATTTTATGGTTTTATGATTTTATGCATTGATGATTTTATGCATTGATGATTTTATTATTTGAATGATTTAAACAGCAGACTTGGAAGCTGCCGTTGGTCAAGCCCAGCAGCTTGGGGTTTAGGGGGGTTCCCTTCAGGAACTTAGCGGCTCCGGAGCTTATAAAGTAGTCTTATATTTGGCGCCCAACGTAAATTTCTATAGAAAGGTCCTCAGCAGCAGCGTTACCAGGTCATTTTCAGAAAAATCTGGACCAGTTAAAATATAAAATCTGAAAAAAATATAGAAGGCTCCAAAAACATAATGCTATTGCAATCAAAGTGATGTGCCAATCTCCCGTAAAAATCGGTCAGTATGATCATCTGGAATTTATTCAAAGTACCAGAATGTTTATGAATTACATGTTTAAAAAATTATTTAAAACAAATAACTTGTTAGCATTGCTTAAATCATCCCAAAGTTAAGAAAAGTATTGACACAGTGTGTCCAAAAAGTTTAAGTATCTATTACACAGCATTTCAAAAATTGAGTTAAATCGTTGGTAAAATACTGGAGAAAATAATTTTAGAATTGCTTTTTAAACTGTAACTTTTTTTTTTAAAAGAATGAAAAGCAAATAATCAAGCAACTTTGATGGGATGGATTTTTAAAAACAAATAGTCGATGTAGTCCTCACTTTTTGATGCAGTAACATAATATGTCTTAAAGATTTTAATACTTCTAAATAATTCCAATATTACCCTGAGGTTAATCAGACTAACAATGTAATTCTTGACATCATAGTAGGCAGTAGGCAATTTTATTTTAAAGTGTAAATCACTCGGTAAAAGTAAAGTGAGAATCAAATCCTAACATCGTGGAACTCACACACAGTTTACCTAAACTACAGGTAACTCAACTGTTTGCATTACCATTATGAATAATTTTATTATATAACTAAAACGAAAGTCTGAATGCGGAATTTATATATTTCCTGGGTCCCAGATCATGAAATTTTTGTTAGTCTGAATTTACTTGAAACTCATTACACGATATCTACGTCCTTTTTTTCAGAGTTCCCTCTGAACCATCCTAGAATTCCATCATACTTCTTTTCTGGATTCCCCTAAAAAAATCTTGATAATATCCAAACTTTTTCAGTAACATTCTAAGAGTTCTTTTGTAATCTCTTATAAATCACTCTCCGATTCTACAATTCCCTCAAACTAGCAATAATTTTCAAGAATTGGCATAATTTACTTTTCATCGTTTTCTTTGAAATGCACTTAGAATATTCTTAATAATTTCCTTGGTACACTCTTCAGAATGACCGTCACACTATTTTCAGCCTTATCCGATAATTCCCTTTGTAGGTAAGGTCAGAATTGTTTTGAAATCCTCTTCTGTATTTGCTAAGTCCTTAAATACTTTGCCAAAATGGCATTGAAAGTCTCCCATAAATTGCCAGATGTTTTTTTGGCATAATTCCGATTAAATGATTAAATGATTGAATTATTTGAAGATTAAACGATTAGATTATGTTATGATTTAATGAATTAATGATTTAATTATTTAAATATTTCATAGTAAAATTGTTAGGTTATTAAAATATTCAATGATGTTATGATTGAAAACTGTAATGATTTTCTAATGTAATGATTTAATGATTTGATGAATTTATGATTTGCTGATATTATGCATTCAATAATTTCATGATATTTCGATTTCATGATTTAATTAATTTACGATTTTCACTGATTTTATGATTCTCTGATCTTAAAATGATCAGATATACAGATTATCTGATATATCAAAATACTAAATTTCTGATGCTTTGATTTTTTCATATTCTTATTCCTTGATTTCCGGAA